ACATACGGAAACCTCACATAGTATTACTGCGGAATCTTCCGCAGCTACTGTCTCCACCGAGTATTCGAATTCACCTACACTTTCAGTCACCAGTGCTGCAAGCAACATAGCCACGACTACCGGCACCATCCCGACGCATGACAAGTCGACAGAAGCCACAACTACTAGCACCACGCTGGCAGTTGTAGGAAGTGTCAACGACTCAGGTTCCACAAGCTCGTCCGGGACAACTCCCACCAATGGCACAACTGCGCCTAAACATCAAAGCAGCACAAATACCCCGCTTGTAAAGGCCAATGGGAAGATGACAACGCCGGAGATGTCGCAGTCAACAACCAGTGAATCCACTGTCGCCTCAAAGCCCATAGCTGTAGGCGTTGTCGGAAGTGCGACAGTTGGGCACACGACGATGTCAACATCGAGCACCTCACATTTGACTACGTCCCTCCCACCAGCTTCAACCACCGCGGCTGAAATGCCAGCTAAAGCCTCTACTCAATCGTCGACGGTAAACACACCAGCAGTCGCGGAAGTGGCCGGCGTCGTGACGAGGGAGACAGTGTCAACTCATTCAACTTTGACGCAGACGCCCTCAATGACTCAACAGACGGAATTAACCCCTACAACCATACCTTCTACCGCGACGGCATTCACTAGAACTGCCAGAGAAACCACCTGGTCATCTATGATGCGAGGGGACAGCTCTGTCCCCAGTGGAAGCACACTGCCTGCAACTCCACATTCCACCAATCCCAAACTCACGGAAGCAGCTGGAAATGTTGCTGAGACTGCCAAACTATCCACCTCTGCTTCAACACCTGGCGTTAAAGGGGCTGCTGGAACCTTACCGACAGATCGCTCTACGGCAACAGAAACTGCCTCACCTGATGCCCAGAAGATGACAGTCGGGCGTCAGATTCGCAGTGCATCCACAACACCAACCATATCAACCACTGACGTCAGCTTGTCCACCCCAGGTTCTAAGGAACCCGAGTCTAGTCAAATCACTACGTCTACTCAGACGAAATCTGGTGCAACAACCGCAGCACACCACCTCGCCACACAGACAGACAAACATCTTCTTACTCCTGCGTCCCTACCATCCCATGGTTCCAGTCCTGCCGAAATCGGTCTCCCCAATACCGTCTCGCCTGCTCCACTTGCTCGGACCACGGTGTCGCAGCAAACCACTCAGGCAGCTGGTCCGGCAGCCGGCCTCTGGGAAGATGGACACACCACTAAAGAAGGACATCATGGCACTTTAATTACCACTCCGATGTCCGTCAAGAACACACCTCCTGAAGGCAGTTCTGTTGGAACAAACAGACTAAGTACAGCCACTCCGACAATAAGGGGCGCTGCGGGAAGACCAGTAGAGGGCCCTCAAATATCGTCCTCAAGCATACCTCATGGCACCTCAGGCAAAAATACAATCACCACTTCAACCACTAAACAACCTGAAGCCCAGACAACGTCGACATTGCGTAGCGTAGGCACCTCACCTCGGGAGACGACAGCGCACCCTGTGCAGACTCCGGTTGTCTCGAGCATGGCCACAGAGTCAAAGGCACTTGCAAAGAATAAGGTGATTGCAAGTGTGGCTGGAATATTCGAGGCGGGCGCACCATCCACTGAAAGTCCCAGCAATTCTCCTACAGTCGCAACAACCATCAAACCTCCCCATGCTTCGTCAGTTACAAGAAGGAGACCACGTCTGGACGACGTCGACGACCACGATGACGACGATAAAGACGACTACGATGACGATGTCAATGAACCAGATGACGATGATTATCGTCCTACCACCTCCTTGCTATGGGCGAGCGTGTTTGATTGATGTAAACTGGTGCAACTCTGATTCAGTGACAATCTCAAGTCATTTGATATTCTGTGCATGAATCTTGATGAAACTACTCTTTTATTGGATGATTCAAAAGTTGTATGAACAAGGAGGATTCCGAGTAATGATAGTCAATTTCTCATGTGTTGCATTCGCCTTTCTATTCGGGGCTAGTTGTGCGAGCATCCCCAAAAATAGGCAAACAACGGGGAGTATTTGATGGCTTGCAGAGGCCAGCCTTGCCGAAGCCAGCCTTCCAAGTCAGTAGTTGTAATCGCTGGTTTAAAGGAAGTTCAGTGTGTGAAGAGAGTTAATTGACCCAGAATGCCCGCGCCTCAACCTTCTATCTGCCAGCAAATTCGTAGCTCTTGAGAATCTGCAAAAAATAGGTACTGAGACAATTTATGCATAGAAGGGAGCTTCATTTGAGAAGAAAGTACAGTCAAAATTAACTGCACGCATATTGTCCTTCCGCTCCCTTATTTTCACCCATCTGCAGCAGCAGCAGCAGCAGCAGCAGCAGACCAAATGGGCAAAGTAGACACGTCTGTCATCTGAGGGCTGTATGCGTGTGCTTGCATGCATGTGCTCCTGTTTTTGTCTTAACATCTGGACGCAAATGGCCCAGCGGTCTAGATTGAGGACAGTAAATACAGCACAACAGTGTGAAAAAGACTTAAAGATGGTAAATAGTCCAAGTTTACTCCCTAGTAGGACTACGTAGATCCATTTGAGGGAGAAGTAGGTTTCAACCAGAGGTGCATTTAAGCAAGGCCCTAACCACTCGAGAACTATCTTGCACTGACAAAAACGTAATCCCGGGATGCATGTTGTCAAGGTATTCAAGATGGACTACTCGCATTGTCTCGGCAAGCGGGCCTTTATTTCTAAGGCAGAAGTTCTACGAATTAATCGTGACAGGTTATTTGGACATGGGCAATTGAGCTTAAGTTAATTCAGTCTAGATTTATATATTTTAAGAATTTTACTTTTGGCATACGACAAGGAGACTAGCACGCCAGTGCCACAGTTCACAGGACCATCTGCGAGGTCCCGCTGTTTAACCAGTAAACCTTTAAGCACTCATTCTGCACAC